AAGCGTAATTTTGGCTGGAGTTTTTTCCCCAACTAATCCCAAGCACAGCTCAAGAGTTACCTTTGGTCAGGGTCCACTCCTGGAAGACAATTTGGATACAACCACCATTCTATGGAGAATAAGAAATTTTAACAGATTTGGCTCACCCTATACCATACCAACTGGCTGCAGAAGTTTAGAGAAGGGATATTTGGGTGACAGAAGGGTGCTTTAAGTTAATTTTAACCCGGTTCACCATAGTGCTACACTTAGGCTTGTGCCAGGAGCATGAATGGCATTTCCCTGCCAACAGTGTGGTATTTCCATGCATGCAGAGAACAGTCCTGATGTGGAAACGGTCTGGGTTGAGTAAAACGAATCTGCCACTTCTTCCCTCTTCTCAGAATCAAGGGTGTAGTTTGGTGTGGACTCGTGTTGGTGCAGGAGTTGTGGTAGTGGATTGCCTTCCTTTGGGTGTTTTCTTTAGGGTGGCCTGAGGATGTTGCATAGAAGAGACGTGCTCAGTCTTCGGGCACTTGGAGTTACGCTGTACCCGCTGATGCCTGAGATGGGTCTGAAATTACAGGGGGAGTTTTCTGGAAAGGCACTAAGGCAGCAGGACCTCGTTGGGTCTCCTGTAGGACTCTAGCTTCATAGAGAAAGTCTGTTTTCAGTATTTGGAGGAACAGAAGATAAAAGAATCAGTATCCACAGATGTTGCTCACACCTGCAGGACTGCTTCTGCCACTGCCAGTTTGTTGTGGCCCAGGTTTCTGTTCCATTTTTGTGTTTGAATGACAGTGTGTGCAGCTGGATGTGGGCAAGAGGACATTAGTTTTGTACTTCTCAGCTCCTCAGTTCCACATATCTTGTACTTCACCATTTTCTGGTAAAACACAGCTCTCTGGGGGCTTGCTACCAGACCAATAAAATTCTCCTTTAAAAATTACAACCTTCTACCCTGCTCTCCCCTCTTCCTCCCAAGTCTGCCCTGTTGGGGCGGAGGGGATCTTCTGAACCCAGTGATCTGACTGATCCATTTGTGCAGTTTAGCAGCGAATAAACTGAAGGTGCTGTCAACGGGGGTGGGAAGCAGAAGAGGGCAGTAGGAGGCTGAGCCGCTTGAGAAGGAGCCCTGTAAGTAAAGCACAGCACAGAGGGGAGCCCGTGGAGCTCCTGGGCAGTGCCTCTGTTAGCCGAATACGGCCTGACAGCCCAGGACAGGGAGTCGCGATCCTGCAGCCCTTCCTGAATCTCTCCTGTCCTGTCGCGTTTGGCTTCTCGCACTCAAAAGTCGCTCAGTTGTCAAAACAATTTCTTCCCTTGCCTACGCTCCAACTATAATTCATTAAGAAAAGCAGCGAGGTGAGGCCATTGGCTTTTCCTAGTCTTTCCCCTCTGGAAAGTGTGGGCTGCAGCAGGACATGAATGAACGGTTGTAAAACTCAGAAGGCAAGGGAAGGGTGGGGGAGAGGGACACGCTGCTGTCTCCTGCTGGGCCTCCTGGGCCTCCACAGCATGGCATCCACCCCGCGAAGCACCTTCCTCCCCTGGGCTTTTCACCATCAGCGCTGGATGATCTTTGCTCAGAAAACCCAAGCCCCATCTTGGATCTGAAGCTGAATCTGTCCATTCCTGGGCTTCAAAGGAGTTCAGGTCTTAGCCCAAACTTTTCCTCACTAGTTTGAACTGGCACTCCACGTGCTCCCCGAAATTGCAGCCTGTGTCTTAAGCATAAAGCTGCTTCACCCCACATACAGGTTTTTATCCTTTCATTGGGCCACAAGTTTGCACTTGCATGTCCTACGCTCCCATCGTCACCGACTTGGGCTGACCCGCCTCAGCTCTGCTTTATCCCTGCAACAGCTATAAGGAAAAATAACGCATTATTCACCGTGAAAGTGCAGATCATGTAACAAAATAACCATCTTTTTGAAACTTGTAATTGTGCATTTAAGTGCAATTTTGAGGAAACAGCTTCGGGTGTTATTTGCCATATAGGTTCCGCTAATAGCAGATATTGATGTCTGAAAAGCAAGAGAAGGTTGCCACAGGAAGGAGAAACTTTATTCAATATTGTGTAAGGATTAGTTTTCTGAACTGATAATGGCTTTGAAATGTGAACACGAACCATGGTTTGCCTTTTGCTTTAGATGAGATAACCAGTTTTCTTATCCAGATATTCCAGGCCTGTCACTATTACTCGTTCTTGGAGTTTGGTGTCACCAGCAACTTGTGTGGAGATTTCTGTGGGAAGGGTGCAACGAAAGAAATCTTCATCTCAAAAAGTTCATGACATACAGAAAAAAAAAACAACCCCACCAGTTCCATTGACTGTTATTCTGTCTGAGCGGTGTACCTCTGCAAGGTTAAGCTCTTGAAGCCTGGCAGTCTTTCAAGGGTGGTGGTAGGACTTTTCAAGCCCAGCAGATGAAAGGCCTCGTGTAAGTTCCATCTTTTGCAGCAGGGTTTTTGCATCCAGCTCTGAAGCACCCTTGCAAGAGCCACAGATCCCTGTCCCCGAAAGGAGAGATTCACCAGAGGGCAGCACAGTATCACTTTTTGTTGTAAAAGCAGGAGTTAACCATTTCAGCTTAGACAAGAGCTTTTTGAAATGAGCTGCTTGTTGTTCCAGTTATGATTGCAAATAAGCTGCTCTCTAAAGCTAGCCTCTGAGGCAGCTCCAAAATCCGTTCTATTAGCCATACATTAATGTTTTAGTGTCCAGGCATCCACCAAGTGGAAGCAGGAGTCCAGACAGTTGTATTTTCATCCCATCTGTCTGCCAGGTTTCTGTCCAAGCCTGGTCAGGGCAGCTGATGGGTGCTTGTCCAGCTTCAAGTATTTCAGAAGGTCTCCTGTGTTAAAGGCACCAGCCCAAGTGAATACTATTTCAGCCTCATCGTTTGGGAGGCATGAAAGAGTAAGAGTAAGACTTCTGATGGCACTTCACAAGACGGTGAATGTAGGGAGGCTTTTTTTGTATTATATTTACTTCTGGTTGCCCTGTATGTGGAGCAGCTTCTACGTCCTCTAGCGCTTATGCCAAACTCTCACTGTTCAGGGAGCTCAAAGGAGTCACTGGTCACATCTTGCCTGCTCAGCGTTCCTCATGCAGGGCTTCATCTGTCGTCAGTCTATTCCAGTTTATTACTCTGTTCTGCTTGTACAGGTAACTGGTGTCTCCAGCAGTTGCCTCCCCTGGTTCAAGTGCCACTGCACTTTTCCAACCTTTTCTGACTTCTTTTTCTCAACTTACAGTCAACGCTTTGATATCTGAATTCTTGTTCTCGTGCTGTAGGTTAATTACATCTTCTGTCCTTGGTTGTTCTCTTTGCTCCATTTGGCTTCTGCCTGGTGAGATGCCTCATGTCAAGATTCAATCTTGCACTTCACTCCTGACATTCACACATAGGTCTCCTTGACTCTCTCCCTCTGATCTCACTCCTTTTTTCAGCTCGATCTCCACTCCATCTGCTCCTGCTCATCCCAACGCTTCCTACCTCTATACTGAAGTCTTCAAAGATGCAGCTTTTCTATGGGGCTGCTCCCCATGCATCCTTAGCTTTCCTTAGTTCAAATATTATCTTTATTTAAGGGTCAGCAGCCTTAAGAATATATGTGTAGAATAAAAGAATAACTTTTCTTACTGTTGTTAAGTTTCTTCTGCTGACTCACCAGATTTTCTTTGATGTGAATGGCCTTTTTTGGAAGTTAATCTTTTTTCTCGTAAGATTTTAATAACAAAATGGTGACATGGTGGTTTTTTTGATACGGGTATGATTTTAGTACCTGATTGAATTTGCTATTACAAAGTATGTTTCTGCTGGAAAGAAAACCAAACATATTTTATATATAAAAATTTATATATGAAGATACATGCATAAAATTAAAGTGAGTCTTAGCGGCTTTGACATTATTCAATCTTGTGTTTCTGCTGCTTTTTTATTCCCAAAAGATAACTGCTCATTTCTTAGCCATTGTATTCTATTTCAGTGTTTATCAATCTTGAAGTCTGGCTGAAAGCCTGTAAATAGGCTTTGCATAACCTATTCCTAAATTACAGAGAAATTGCTATCTTCAGCAGTGCAGAATGAAAGACTTCTTTTTAATTTTGCCATGTCAGCAACGTATTACATTAAAAATACCTATAAAATTTTAGAATATATTGTGTATCAAAACTCACATATTGTAAATACCATTAACCCAGGATTTGTCCAGGGGCTGCTGTGCTGTAGCAAAAGTTGTGTTTATTCGAGTTCTTAAAACAGTGTGTACTTTTCTCATTAGTTGTTTTCTTAGACTCGAGTGGGGAGAAGCAAAGAAAAAAAAAGTAAGTTCAGTATTTTTACTCTCCAGACATACTATTACGAAAATAAGCATTTCACATAGCAATAGGACTAGAGCTAATCTGCTGCCAGAGGTTCTTGTGGTGTTAATTTCAAAGTCTTCCCTAGCTTATTTGTCACTGTACTTTAACACCGAACTACATGCAGGCAGGAGACATTGAGAGGGAGGGAGGTGAATGCCTGCTGCAGCTCTCTTTTTACCTTGTTAACTTTGCAGAAGTTGTAGTTTGTTTTGAGCTCACTTTTCAATGAAGTTAACAAAAGTCACTGCAAAATAGACCACTGTCCCTCGAAGTGGATTTACGGACTTTTTCCTCCAGATACGATACAGAGATATCTTTATTCATGTTGAGGTTGTAGATTGGTAACAGCCTGCATTAATATTTGACAAGGTTTGTTCTATGTCACCATCAGAAATGTGGCTGAAAATCTCTTTGGCTGGCTGTCTTGTACTTGAAACTGGTTTTTGTGGGGGGTTTTTTGATGAGATCTGGATTTGAAAATCTCTCCTGCCAGATTTCTAGCTGTCAGATTCATTATCTCCAACATTTATGTTAACCTCTAACGGTATTTTTCTTTCTGCAGAAACAGAAGGTGCATGCAGCACAGATGCCAGCCTTCTCCGAGGAATAGCCTCTTCATCCCCAAGTGACGCCAGCTGCTGCTAGTACCATGGGGCCAGAGCGTGGTTTGTTAGGTAGTGGACAGGTCCACGTCATCCTGTGGGGAAGTTTGGCAGCCATGACAACACTCTTGTTCCTCACCTTCCTCATCTTCCTCTGCTCCAGCTGCAACAGGTAAGGCTCAGCAGCTTAGCAGGCAGTAATGGTTCTCGAGTCAAATAGTGCGGGTATTGAAATAGCTTCAGTAGTAACTAGCTGGCAAGAAATACTGAGAATTTAGTTACAGAAATGAAAAAAAGTACAGTACAAAATGTGTTTTCAGAACGAACCCAAATTTGAACGGTTCTGTTCATTCTAAAATCTAAATACTCTGTTTTCTTTTGCTGTGAATGTGCAGGAAAAACACTGTTATGTTTGCTGGGTGCTTTCTCCTCAGCTGAAGCCTGGAGCACAGGCGGACAGGGACTGTTAGCAGATCACACCGCTAACCTGAAACTGAGAAAATTAGGTGGGCACAATGGGACCAAAAAAGTGTAGGTAAAAAGGAAAGGAAGATGATTTCTATGTATTTCAGCCTTGCATTGGCCATTCCTGAAGACTAGGGAATCGATCCTGTCGTTCAAGACAAAATGAGTAAGAATCAAACAGTGATGCTAATTAATGTCTTGTACCGACTCTTCTTCTCCATAAGAGGGTTTGATTTCACCAGTACAGGCGTTCCTACTGACTTTGTTCATTTGCATTTCAAGGCCCCCTCATGACATGTAAGCTGAGCCCTGCTGATTGCAGAGGGGAGCTGGGCAGCCTGCACTCAATCCATGGTGCCCTTTTGCATGAGGAGCCTTCACGATGAGGAGCAGGACCGCTGTGGTCCGTATCGCTATGCTTTGCCAGTATAGCTCAATCAGCCAAGTGTATGGGCAGAAAATAACCCCCTATCCATAACTCAGTACAGCAGCAAAATCTTTGTTTTGGACCCTTGTGCCTGTAGGAGTGTGTTCTTTCAGCCGTTCAGCATTGAGAGCGTTGAGGAAGTTGTGCAGCCATAAAACACACTATATTGGCATGAGGTGT